TCATCAGCCTCACTCTCTCATCCAGAGTCATCAAAGTCCAGTGTTGAGACAAAGGTCAAAATGACTGGAGAAGTCCCAGGATACAATAAATGACCTTGGTGTGTGGGGATTAAAATTATCCAACCTACAATAAGAGAGACTGAGGAAGAGCTCTGAGCCAATGGCACTTCATGAAAAGGTCCATGGTCCCTTCCAATGAAGTGGACCTTAGATTTTCCTCATGATCTGAGATGGCCCCTCCTCCCAGGGCCTTATTTTTATAGGGTTAGAAATCTAGACATTCAAGAACAGCTAAACCAAATACAGAATAATTCCATTGGTTAACACATGACACATAAGCAAAAATGATCTGTCAGCAAGGTCATGAGTTGGGTGAAGCAAGGAATATCTCCACTGACCAGGTGGTCATAAGATAGTCATAAGATGGTCACCTGCTCATGTTGGACAAGAGAGAATGGTCTGGAGGTACAAAAATAAATTGGGAGATTTTCCATGTAGTTGAGTCACCTCTGTCACACTGGGCTTGATCACCATGTCAAGGGTAAAGGACCTCCAGCTAGCTTCCTATGATGACACAAGTGAATATACAATCTGCAGCTCACAGTTCTGGGTCCAAATAGACAGAACTTATAATCACTACCCCTATAGAATCATATTAAATTGATTGATACTGATTGGAATAAAGTAGGGGTCCTCAATGAATCAACTTTCTCAGGTATTTTCAATGTCTGACTAAGTTTTCAGCTTGGTCACTCCACAGTGTCTGCATCAGCTGCCTTCATGGCTCTTGTGACAGATTGTTCTTATTCACCCATTCTGGCAGCTCGGCATATAGTAAGTGTGCTATATAAATGCTAGCTATGATTATCATCACCATCATCATTACACCCCTGCTTTATGTAGGAAATACTAAACATTCTACTCACTTAGTTGTTACCCTAGCTCAAGCCTTCCTCATCTCTTGCCTGGACTAACAAACTAGTCTCCTAATTGATTTGATTTGATTTGAGAATTGAGAATTGATTCAGCCTAAAGTCTCTTCCTACTCCAATCTACTCTCCTTATGGCTACCAAAGACTAAAAGTCTGGTCTGACCATGTCATCTTTCTACTCCATAAACTACTCTATTTAGTAGTGGGGGGTAATTGTCAAATTGGTTTCATCACACGTAAAAAGAAAGGGTTGGTCCAAGTAATCTGCAAGATTCCTTCCTTGCTTAATATTCAATAATTCTATGACTAATTGCTTTTTCAAGTTTCTTCAGTTACATCATTCTACTTCTACCACTCTCATTTCCTTTTTTTTCCTTTTCCAGAAATAGTTAGGGACTTGATCAGTCAGTCAATTCAGCAACATGGCCTCTGCACAGTTAATGTCTCTTTCCTTTTCCTCATTATTGCTCTCCTTGATTTTGTAGCAACATCAGTGTTAACATGCACTTCGTTACTTCCTAATTACGTACAGCTCTCTTATTTATTTTTCTTCCTAGAGAAATTTGTAATGCCTCCCCAGCATTCCAGCAATTGTAAGAGATTTTGCTCAGCTTCCCTTCTTATTCATTAATGAGTTTACCCACCTCCTGCCACTGCTTTCTCCCACTGTCCGTGAAATTCCTTATTTGACAATATTGGCTTGTATTGCCTGTTCAGTGTTTCTACCCTGATTTTTCTCTGCTGTTGTGTACTTTTCTACTAAAAAGTAGGAGATCTTCAATGGCTTGCAGGCCTCCCATTGTAATGTTCACAATACAAGTAACAATGACTCTCAAGCCTAACTCCTTTTTTCCTTCCACATTTCAGAGCTCGCTTTTTTCTATGGGTTGCTTTGTGTGTTCTCCTGCCCACATCTTCACCCTGCCCATTGGGTAATTCTGTACTTCATTCTCAGCCAGGCAGATACTATATGGGATGATAATGAACACATCCCACTTGTTTGTGAGATATAGCTACCAAAAGGAGGAACTGAGGAAATTCAATCTCACAGCTCGAAGGGAGAAATAAAAAGAATCCAGTGAAGAAAAGTTAATAAGAGCCAAAAATGTGAGTAAACTGCAAATGACAATGGGAGGAAATGGACAAAGGAGATTGTTTTTAATGTCTCAAAAGAAGGAACTAATACATAATGACAGCAGCAAAACCAAGCAGGTCAAAAGCTATTGGAAGACAGCACTATTATGCAGAGGAATTTCTATCATTCCACGAGTAGTCAGGAAGTAATTATCATAACTGCAACTTTAGAAGAGGTATTTTCCTAAATGGGTCACTCTGAAATGACAAACAGTATTGACTTCGTTGTTTGGGAAGGTAGATTAAAGCACATTAACATTTTCTTCTCTACCTCTAGTCAAATTAATGATGCTGAGATTCTTGAAGGCAGTCTCTTTAACCTCTAAGAGAGATTTCAGCACTTAAATACTCATACTCAAAGGATCAGTGATCTCAGTGATGCTGATGTTTCTTCCAGCAGCTGCATGTTTCACCCCATCCAACCCTGCCCATTCTGCGTCCCTCTTGAGCATGTCTTTCTTTAAGTATGAGAATAACAATAGCAGAGTCAGTGAGCTATCTACTAGCTATTTCTTGCTCTGACCAGGTGACTAACCCATCTTCTTTTCCTATAGGGGTAGCTAGAGGTGGGGAAGAGAGGGAGAGAAGAGAAGGAAGGCAATAAGATTTATAGAACATCTCCTACTAGCCAGGCACTATGGATAGTGCTTTATAAATATATTTAATTTGATCTTCACAATTACCCTGAGAGGAAGATACTATTATTATCTGCATTTTACATTTGAGGAAACTGAGTCAGATAGGTTCACATTGGTCATAAGTGTCTGAGGCCATATTTGAACTCAGGTCTTCCTGACTTCCTAGGCGTAACTAGGTGGCACAGTGGATAGAGCACTGTGCTTGGAATCAGGAAGTCTCATCTTCCTGAGTTGAAATCTGGCCTCAGACACTAGCTATGTGACCCTGGACAAGTCACTTAATCCTGTTTGCATTAGTTCCTCATCTATAAAATAAGTTGGAGAAGAAAATGGTAAGTTACTCTAGTATCTTTGACAAGAAAACTCTAAAAGAGTCATAAAGAGTCAGACATGACTGAAATGACTAAATAACAACAATAATAACAACTTCCTGACTTCAGGCCTAGTTCTCTCTCCATTGCCCCACCTAACTACCTAGGGAAGTGGTCGCATACTACTTAGGATGAGAGTCCTCTTTTACAGCATGATGACTATAACCACTGACACTCAGCAAAAGTGATAGAGAAGACCTGGGTTCAAATTACAGCTCTGACATGTGCTATCTGTGTGATCTTGGGCAAGTCACTTAACCTCTGTGTACTTCAGTTTCTTCAGCTTTAAGATAGAAATAATAATGACACCTCACTCCCAGGGTTGTTGTGAAGACCAAGTGAGGTATTTATAAAGCACTTGGCACGTGCTCAGCACAAGGTAGGTACTTAGTAAGTGCCAGTTCCCTTCCCCCCATCATTCATTTTTCTAGTAAAAATCTTGAACACTGATTCTTCTTGAAATTTCTTTCTGTCATATATTGCAACCTGCTCATACTTTCTGTGAGTTTTACCATTGCCCTGTCTATGATTGGCCTGTCTATGATTGGTTTGGTTTTCATTCTTTTGAGACTTTAGTGTTCCATGATTCACAGCTATACAATGACACTGGTAGAACATTGACAGTAAAATGATCATCCTTTGTTTGTGAAAGACATTACCTATCACACAGTAGACATATAAGGCAAACTCTATGCTTAAAAAGTGAGTAGAGGTGATGCTCAGGAGATATACCAGGGGTGTGCTGTCAAATATTTAACTACTGGCCCTGGTGGGGGGGGAGAGGGAAATAAATTCAATCTTCATAATATTTTCTCTATCACCTTATTAAATCTAGACAATCAACAAAACCATAAATCAAACTCTGATTTGTAGTATTTTCTGATTTCAGGATTATAAACGCTCACAATGAAAATTTAACAACCAATTCCCTGTTCCAGCTGGCTCCAGCATACCCTTGGGAGAAACTCAGAAAGGAGCTATTCAGTTCAACTACAATACATTCAATATTCCATATATTCAATATTTTAAATGTCTACTATGTGGAGAGCCCTAGGATAAGTACTTGACCAGGAAGTGTAGTATAATGGAAAAACTCTTAAGCCTGGGAGTCAAGAGACACATTCAGGTCTCAGCTTTACCACTAACAGGTGGCTGATTGCATTGGTCCAGAGAGCAGAAAAGAACAAAAGTTCTGCTTCACTTGTTATCATTCCAATTAGTAGAGCACTTGACACTGGGATTCTTAAGTCTGGCAGACTTAAGCTGATTAGAAGGACTACAACCACAGAGTAGCCAAATAAGGAAAACTGATCCTTTAAGAAGTGAGTAGACATGATGCTTAGAAGAAATACAGATGGTGACTATTCAATTCAACAGTAACAAGTTCAGCACAAATATTAAGCCACTACCTTGACGCAGAGTACTTATGCCAGGCACTAGGAAAAGATTGAAAGTTAAGAGAACTAGTAGTGTGACTGAGAGAGACAAAGTTTCTTTGATTTGCACATCAGAAGTCTTGGGTCTCGAAGAATTCAAAGTTGGGAAGAGAAAAAAAACTTTGGAAATTTTATATTGGGCAAATTGAACCCAATAAAGGCTGATCTACCTGATCAAACTGATTAAGAAATGTCCCCCTTAACTATTTCGGTCTTCGGTCACCTCATGAGTAAAATAAAAAGAGCTGGATTATATCTCTCAGGCAGTTCTAACATTTTATGACCCATGAGCCCTATAAAAGAAGTATACTGCATCAACTTGTAATATATACTGAGACTGTGAACTTGTAATTTACTTAATGACAATATATGCATAGGTTCTGCCCAAAATGATTGTTAAAATAAATCATGGTTTGGGCCTCTCTCTGATTAATGAAGCAAACTCAGAAAAGAAAGATACAAATATTTTATTTAGCATACCAAGGCAGCTGGAGGTTGGGTGTGGCAGGGTCTATTCAAATTGTGAGCTGCTTTTTCTAGGCAGGAGTAATCAGCTTCCATATAAGGGCAAAAAGTATTTTGATTGGTACACATCATTATGAAGAGATGAGATTAGTGCCATCTCAGCTCCTCCCTCATTAAAGTTTCCTAGGAAAATGGGATTACGGAGCTTGCCACTACCATCTTCCTGAACTCAAAGTCTAGACCAAGTTTTAAAAATGGAATCACCCAGATTGATTCAGCACAAGCAGCTGACTTTGCACACAATTCTAAAACTATTTTATTGCAGGAATTAGTTTTTGCATTCTGACCTGTGGGCTGCATGTATGCATTGTGGGACTTCCTGGCAGAATGACCTGTGAGAAAAGAAAAGATGAAAGAATTTGGAAAAAGGACACTTTTCTTTGATTCTCTCCCAGAGACTTCTCCCTTCTTCCTTTAAAGCAACAGTTCTTTGGACCTCTGGAGGTCCCTAAGATCCTTTCAAGGGGTCTGTGAGCTCACAACTATTTTCATAATAATACTAAGATGTTATTTGCCTGTTAAAATACTTTTTCAACTACACATCTCTGTGAAGCCAGATTTTCTTCATATCCTCCAACCAAAACAACATTATCACAACAGATTGAATGCAGAAGCAGATATGAGAATTCAGCTGTCTTACATTAAGCCAGACATTAAAGAAATTTGCAAATACATGTAAAACAATGTCATTCATTTTACTAAATGTTTTTCATTTTGGAAATATAGCTGTTTTTCATAAAATGTATAATTTGTTATGTAATGTGTTTATTATTGTTATTTTTAAATGAATAAGTATTTTCAAATTTTATCAATTTTAATTTCTGATACAGTAAATATCAGTTGGTATAACCCACATAAACAAAAACTCTTTGGGGTTCTCAATAACTTTAACAGTGTAAAGGCATAGTTTCCATATGAGATCAAAAAGTTTGAGAATCAATGGGGCGGGTAACTTTCGGCCTTGAGGCCACATGTGGCCCCCTAGTTCTCAAGTGCAGCCCTTTGACTGAATTCAAACTTCACAGAACAAATCCTTTTATTACGATTTGTTCTGTAAAGTTTGTGATGAAATCCTAATAAAGATACCCCCAGCCCCGATATTCTAACTTCCTTATGGGCACCATTTAACAGCAGGCATGCCCTGATTTGACCACACAATCTGACTTTAACTACATCACAGGCCCCCAGACTCAATCAGAGGCCTCATTGAACCTCAGGCCCACTGCCTCTACCTAGCCACTGCCCCCAGACTCAATATAGCCACTGCCCCTACCTAGCCACTGCCCCACCCCCCTCACTCAATATCCTAACATCCTCATATATGCCTCGCTGCCTCACCAGAACAATAGGTGTGTCCATGAACTCCTATTTCTCACAGAAACAGCAGGCATGTCCATGTGACAGGACCCCAGCCACTGCCTCTAGCTAGCCACTGCCCCCAGACCCATTCCTCATATTTCCCACAGAAATAGCAGGTGTGTCCATGCACCCAAGCACAACCACATTCATCTAGTCTCAAACAGGACCACAATAGTCAGCCAATCAGAAAGTGGCTCCACCAAGATGCCCAAGCAGGATGCTGACCCCAAAATAATAGAAGGAACTTTCCCTAAGTAGGCACCTCCACAGTAATAGCCAAAGTTGTCCTTTAGGTGAATTTAAGATGTAGAGAGGCTTATTATAATATTATTATCATACATACCTGGCCCCCCCAACAGGTTTTTCTGCATGCATTGTGGGAAATCACATAAACAGTTCCACTGAGGCTAGAACCCCAACCACATTACCTAATCCCTTACAAACCCTTCCCGCCTTTTCAATATTCATAATTTCTGTTATGTAATCAGCATCCTTATACTACAAAATTGCCAGTCTGGTCTTACTAAGTTGCTGGTTCCTCCCAGAACCTAATCCACTTCTGAGATACATCAATCCTCAAAAAATGCCTGTACTTGGATTAGAGGTGGTCTAACTCTGAATTCTTTGAGACAGAGCTGCCACAACACACCATAAAACCACAACATTTGGATACAGTCAAAGGGCCACACTTGAGGACCCACAGAGCCGGCAAGTTCCCCACCCATGCTTTAGATTATAAAAGGAAAGAGAATAGACTTGTGGCTTCTCTGCAATTTATAAACATGGAGAGCTGCCTAGTGCATTGGGAAGCTAAGTGAATTATTCAGGGTCACACAGCCTGTATATGTCACAAATAGGATTTGTACCCAGTTCTTCCTGGTTTGAAGACTGGCTTGATATCAATTATAGTAGGAGGAAAATCTACCAAGCTCCCAGGCAGCAAGCAATAACACAACTAAACAATAAGATAGCATTCGGAGCTGGAAGACATTTTAGAGGTAATATCACCCAATCTTTTTATTTTACAGATTATTTCATTTGCCCCAAGTTGCTCTGCTTGGTTTTTGACTCCCTCTTCATTTTCCTCATGTCTCAACCAAGATAAACTCATCATCAGGAAATTTATCATGACGGAGATTGCTTCATGTTTACTATTCACACCTCATCAGTACCCCCATTCTGCCTCTCTGGAGGGCTCAAAATGCTAGTTATCTCTTCATTTGCCATCAGCCTCTTTCCTTGGTTTTGAATTCACCAATCAAGCAGTCAATAACATTTATTAAGCACCTCCTAGATTAGCTAGGTGGTGCAGTGGATAGAGTTCTGGTCCTGGAGTCAGGAAGACTCATCTCACTGATCTCACTCATCTCAGGCCTCAGACACTTACTAGCTGTGTGACCCTGGCCAAGTCAGTTAACCCTGTTTGTCTCTGTTTCCTCATGTGGAAAAGGAAATGGCAAACCACTTTAGTGTTTGTGCCAAGGAAACCCCAATCAGACACGACTGAAACAACTGAACAACAAGCACCTGCTTAGCGTCAGGCACTGTGCTAAGCACTTGGGTTAATGAAAGAAGCAAAAGACCATCCCTTGTGCCCAAGGAGTTCACTATCTAATGACCATCATCTTCCTCCCTCTGGAACTCCTCTCTGTCTTTCTCAACTTCCTTTTGTGTGATGTATTCCCTGTTAGACTATAAGATCCTGGAGGGCAAGGGCTGTTTTTCTTTTTTTCTTATTTGTATCCCCAAGACTTAGTATAGTGCTTGGCACATGGTAGGCACTTAATACATGTTTATCATATAGATCAATGAAAGAACTGAGTTTTAGAAAAAATAAGTGACTTGCTCATGATAATATATAGCAGAACCTATGATGGACATGAGCTCCGTAATGATTGTACTAACTGATTCAATATGCTAGAGCTTCCCTTTTACACAGGAGAACCAGACAATGGAGTAGCACAACTATCCAACCAGAGGGATTTCTGAAGCCCAGGGCTGCTTGCCATACCAGTGATGCTTTTTGAGTGAACATTAGCTGAACTTAGAGATGCCTGCAACTGTTGAAACCAGTCTTGACTACTTCAGAGAGAGCAGCAAACATCTTGGTTTCTGAGTTGTTGGGTTTGCAGATGTCTTCTCCATGGAGCCCCACTTCTATTACTTCCTGGTCTGTTGTGTTTCTCCCTTAAACCCCTGCTTAGCCATGAATACCTCAAATAGTAATAAATATTCCAAATCTGTATAAAAACCTCATTCTTTCCCCATTCCCCTGTGAGCAGCTGAGAATTTTGTCTCACTGCTCCAGCTTGCAAGCTTCTTCTCAGGCAACAAGTTCTGTTATAATCTTTGTGAACTTGTGGTCAGACTCTGGCTTACTCCAGGTCCCCTTTTTGGACCTTCAGTCTCCTCCATTTTAACAGTTCACAGAAGTTTTTGTGTCTAAGGTCAGATTTGAACTTAGGAAAATTAGCCTTCCTGACTTCAAGCCCAGCACTCCATCCATTGTGCCACCTAGCTGTACCTGGCCAGTTGCCTTATTTCCAACAATATTTATTGATGCCCTAGTAGGATAGAGATGTAGTGGATTCCTACATCCTAGGATATAGTATATAACTGTCCTAGGAGCTTGGTCAAGTCCTGCCTCTGAAATATCCTGGCTGTGTATCCCTGGACAAGTCATTTCACTTCTGAATTCCCTAGGCAACTTTCTTAGACTCTAAGTAAAAGGGAAGTCACTGACCTGCATGGTTAGAGGAAGTTCCCTATATAAATGAAATCCCAAAAATAAGTGTGGCAAAGGAATAGGAAAAAAAAGACGTGTAATTAGAGAAAGTGCAGGGAATTATTTGTGGTTATTTCCATTTCAGTCAAGGAAATAGTAGGCACATTTTGTATAACACTTTACAATTCCAGAGGGCTTTCACATCTATTATCTCATGTGAGCCTTAAAACAATCCTGCTGAGAGGCAGCCTGACTTAGTAGACAGAAAGCTAGCCTTGAAACCATGAAGACCTGAGGTCAAATTTCCTCCCTGGCTCTGGTCAAGTCACTTACCATCTCAGTGTTCAGCTAAACTTATTTTGCTGCATTTTGCTGCTAAATTGATACATAAAGATCTCTGTAGCCTTATATTGACTTAGAAAAAACCACAAATTAACATTATTTTGTTAAGTATTTCCCAATTACATTTTAATCTGGGAGTGGGGTGGGGAGGGAGGTATTGGGGAATGGAGGTGGAGTGAGAAGCTGTGTTTTTGTCATCTCTGTACTGGGCAACTCTGTTAGACTCTAAAGTTGCAGAGAAGGTGTGACACCTTGGGAGTCATTTGGTGTGTCACTTTGGGCTTTTCCTATCCCAAAGAAATCAACTAAGACCTGGGAAAGACCTTATCTTAAAAAGGCTAAGGTCTCTCACTGCATCCTGGGCCATCCACCCTCAGTTGTCCTGACTTATGTCTTGCTACTGGACTCCATTGACAATGGAGGAATCATGGGGCTGATGACTTTGCTTAGCTCTGCCTCACTAAAATCTAATTCATTTGCAAGTTGAGACATCACTCTCCTGATGTCATTGGTCCTCTTCAAGAACAAAGGATGAACAGCAACAAGAGGTCCAGTCCTTATCCCTTTTCCTATTCCCTAACAAGCTACTGAACTGGGTAGTGCAAGTACTATTAGACTCATTTGGGCAAAATTACAGAATTTCAGAGTTGGACCTTAGTGACCAGAGTCTGACCTCTTCTAGAAAAGGATCTCTGTTGTAATACACACTAACAAGTGATTACCTAGGCTTTGCCTGAATATCTCCAATGGGGGGAAACCCATTACATCCTCTCAAGATACCCCAATCCCAGGCATGCATACCTAGTGCAAGGTGTGGGAGGAGCATTACTATTGGCCCTTCCCCTTTCAGTCCAGGCTCTGTGCACACCCATGACCTCAACCTAGTACAGAATAGGTCTAATTGTTAGGTAGTTTGTTCCTCACATCAAACCTAAATTTTCTTCTTTGTAACTATAACCATAAGAGCCAGAGTGTTGTCTGAGAGGAAACTGACACCCACAAAAGGAAAGACCACATGTTTTCCAAACTGAGCAGTCTAGTATCAATCTAAAAGTTAATGGGCAACATTATTCTATTCAAGTAATTGAGCTCTTGGCTGCAAATCAGAGAATCAGACAGACAGACTATGGAATGCATTTCTATTTCCTAAAATGAATAAATACATTAGCCATTTAATGTTAATGACCAAACACAATAAATAGAATTTACAGATAAAATCTGCATTAAAAGAACATTAGCATTGTGGATTGAAACCACAACACTATGTAAATGACACTGGCAACCTAACGAACCAGTGCAGCTCTATCCACTGTTAAAGAGGGGTTACCTTCACCCTCTGCCCTTGAAGGCCCTCAGCTAGGCAATCTGACATTTTTGCAGTAGCCTATTGGTTGATCTGTCATTTTTTTTTCCAAAGATAAAAAGAAAATGGCAGGGACCTGTTTCGCTTAGTAACTATGATGAGAGTATACATCTGGCCTGTTTTGTGATTTAAGTCCAAGCCTGGACGCCCATTATGGGGAGGGGACAGGGGAGAATATATTTGCTTTTATTTCCTGAAGAAAAAAAAATTGGATCCACCCTTAGGATCTGACCTACCCTTAGTTTGGGAACCTAAAATTCCATCTCTTTCAGATTTCTTAACTAGCTTCTTCTCTTTGGCTGATTTTTTTCCTATCTACCTGTTATCCTGATTGTATTGTGCAGAATCAGTCACTACTGCTAAGTCAGTCCAAGTGACCCCATTGTTTCCCAGCCTCTTGTCCTTTTCTGTATGTGTCAGGTAGCTAGTAGGGATTACCCTTTGAATAGTAGTCAATCAACGATGGGGCACTAGCTTATCTTCTTTAAGAAATGTGTACTTATCAGGATTGTCTTGCTTTTATTATAAAAGTTATCTATAAAAAGCAGAGGGTACTTTGAAATCATTGCCTGGCCACACACAATGGGCTTTTGCCTTGGGTGCTACAATAAACTCCTTTAAATTTTCTCTTCCTGAGTTTGCCTCATTATTGAGGACAAAGCCTGAAAAAGATTTTCTTTCCGCAGTATAATTTATTGTCTTGATTACTTTCTATAGGTTGGCTTATTTCTATGATTAATGGGCATAATACTACTTGCTAAAGTTACTGCCTACTGAACATTTCCAACTAGATATGCTACAGGCGTTCAAATTCAACAAACCCAAAATAGAACTCATTATCTTTCTTACCAAACCCTTCCTTTCTCCTGTTGTGTCTTTGTTGTGATTACCACCATCCTTGTAGTCATGGAAGTATTCAATTTGAGTCATATTTGCCTCTTCCCCTCTCTTTCTTTCCATCTAATCAGTTGCTAAATCTTGTTTATTCTACTTCCCGATATCTATACCATTTATCCATTCTACTCACATAGCCACCACCTCAGTTCCAAACTTCAGAACCTCTCTCCTGGACTAGTACCAGAAAATTGGTGCCTCTGCCTCCAGTCTTTCCCTTTCTCCAGTCTATCATCTACATAGCTGCCAAATTTTATGTTCCCAACATATAGGCCTGACCTTTTTACCTCCCCGATTAAAAAACTTCCTATTGCTTTTGGAAGAAGATATAAACTCCTTTGACATTTGGAGTACCTTTATAATTTGATGTTTCGAAGTTCAGTCATGTTCTGACTGTGTTTGGGGTTTTCTTGGCAAAGATACTGGAATAGTTTGCCATTTGCTTCTCCAACTCATTTTACAGATGAAGAAGAAACTGAGGCAAGTGACTTGCCCATTGTCATAGAGCTAGTATCTCAAGCCAGATTTGAACTCAGAGAGATGTCTTCCTGATTCCAGGCCCGGCACTCTCTCCTGTGCCACCTAGCTGCCCCAGTTTAGCCCCAGGCTATCTTTCTAGGCAGATTACATATCCCTCTCTCTTACACATTCTATACTGTAGCCTAACCAGCCTGCTTGCTATTCTCCACAGGGCCCATTCTATCTCCTGCCTTCATGTCTTTGCTGTCCCCCATACCTGGAAAGATCTACCTCCTCACTTCTGCCTCTTGGAACCCTTTGCTGTTTGCATCCCCAGTGCCTTGTTCTTGTTCATCCTTCATTCTCAGAGGGGTCCATGACATCAGGAAGTGAATTGGATTTAAGTGAGGATGGGCTGTGCAAGGTCACCAGCCTCACTTTCTTCTCCCAAGCCATCTGGGTCCAGTGGCAAAATATAGATCAGAATTACAGGAGATGGCCCTGATGCAGTGAGAGACCTTGGCCTTTTTAAGCTAAGATCTTTCAGAGTTTTCACTTTGACTGAGGCAGCTCCCATTCAGTGATTAAGGGTGGTTAAGAAAAGAGCCAAGGCCACTTTCATCTAACAAAAAAAAAATCATTCTGGGAGGGGAAAAACCTCAGGGTTTCTGGCCAAAACAGAAACAATTACTATTTACATTTGCTCTGAGCCATTGTCCCAAATGTGACCACTAAGAGGTACTTTGAGCTGGTACCTATTGTTGGCCAATCAATGAGAGTCAGAGTGAATTGGGTTTAAGGCAGAGGTGGGAAACCTGTGGCCTGGAGTCCACTTGCAGCCCTCTAGGTTCTCTAGTGAGGCCTGGTGTTGGCATCCCCCATCCCACCTTCAATCCTGGCTCCAAGATTATTCATTGTTATGGCTTGAATTCCTGGGTCATTTGGAGATCACCTCTGGCACCCGAAACTGAAAAGGACAAACAACACAGAACAGAAATAAATGGTTTTTTGGAGCTGGAGCAAAAGAGAGGGAACAGGGGAAGGAAAGCCCTTTCCCTCTCATGGGTTCAATTCATGGTATTCATTTTGGGCTCAGTATATTCCAGGAAACCACCAAAGAAGGTTACCCCCAACCACAAGATGGAAGACACAGAAGCTTCCATGGTAGGCAATCTGGACATGTTCTATAGGCTTCTCAGGTCGCCTTCATGTTGCACAAACTGAATGTGTCCAAACATTCCCAGGTTATACCAGTCACAGCATCTCTCTAGGGGTCCACATAAAAGTGAAAGGCCCAATTTTATCATGGATAAAGCCCCATATATAACATTGGACCTTTTCCAAAGGAATATTTACTTTAAAAATAATAAAACAAACATACAAACTTACTCAACCCTTTCATGTGTAGGAGGCATAACTCTATCAACCCCCCTTTTACCATCCTAGTCTCTGGGGAGGAAAAAAGTAAATAAGGTTCATAGCTTAGCTTGGTTCCTATAGAGCACAGTCCCAGTACCAAATCCAAAACTCCATCGAGGCTACATGTGGCCTTTTAGGTCCTCAAGTGTGACCCTTTGACTGAATCCAAACTTCACAGAACAAATCCCCTAAATAAAAGGATTTGTTCTTTAAAACTTGGTCTCAGTCAAAAGGACGCACTTGAGGACCTAGAAGGCCACATGTGACCTCAAGATCACAGGTTCCCTATCCCTGCCCTTGGCACTCTGGCTTCTCAGGGTTTCCATGCTGTGCTGGCTAGCTGCCACCCTGCCAGCAATCCTGGCTCCAAGGTGATGGTGACTCAAACTCAGGTTCCATGAGGATCACCTCCAGCACCTTAAATTAAAGATGAGCAACACAGAATAAAAACTAACACACCCAAGGCCCATTTCTCAGATCACAGAGTTTAAAAAAAGGGGAGGGAGAGGAGCAAGGGATGGAAAATCCTTCCTCTCTCACTAGTTGATTTCATAATGTCACAGAATTGTTGCTAAAAAGAGCAACAGTTCAAAAGGGACTGAACAACTCAGTCTGGCCAGTTTTAAAGGTCCAGGCAGCCAATCAAAGGAAGTTATCCAGAACCACATAGTAGGGGATGAAGAAGTTTCCATTTTGGGCAAGCTGCACATGTTCCAAAAGCCCCTAAAGGAGGAAATGGGCACGCCCAGACCAGCCCAGGTTCCACTAGTTTGACACCAGTGGTAGAACTCTGAGAAGTGATTTACCTAGGGGTCAAACAGCCAATAGGCATCAGGAGTCACTTTGAACCCAGGGTTTCCTAATTAACAGGCCAATTCTCTATCCATCACACCACACTCTCAATTTGGGGACATAGTTATTTTATTTGCAACCCAAAAAATTGGAAACAAACCGTTAAGTCCAACAATCAGAAAACAGATAAATCATTTATGGCACATTAATGGATGAAATATTGTGATGTTGTTAAAAAATGTGAAGAATATAAGGAACTACATCAAATAACACAAAAGGTTAGCAAAAGCAGTGCTGTATACACATTGACTAAAACTATATTAAAAAAATAAAACAAAGCCAAAGGCAGACAAGAGACTTAGAAAGGAACACATTTTGTGCTTATTTATTTGTTTCTACTTTGTTAAATATCAAGGGTTTTATGTAAGATTTTATTCATTTAATATGTTTATTAGTTATTTGTTTTTTATTATGGTCATCAAGTTTATGATCATTTTAAAAATCTTTGTATCTACCCTAGCACATAAGCACCATAGTCTACACATAATAACACTTAATAAATGTTTGTTGGATTAAATTGAATTTCTCGCCATTACCCTCAGGTCTTATCTCAGAATGACTACTGATTCTGACAATTCCCCCAAGAGCAATACTTTGCAAACCAGAATGCAATTGTCCTTTGTTAGGAAAGAGCTTTCCGGTTTGCCTGCATAACTTACCACCCCCAACAGACATAATCATAAAGTCATTATTCCCCACTGCAAGTCTTTGAGGTGGATGAGTTATGCACTGATTTTATTCACTTTACTGCATATGTCATCTTGGGCAAGTCACTTAACTTTTGGGGGCCTTAGTTTCCTCACTGGTAAAATAAGGGGATCAGATGGGATGAACTCTAAGGTCCCTTTCAGCTCTAAATCTATGATCCTAATAACAGTTAAAAATAACAACAACTCCCTTCTATACAGCTATTTTCCCACATCCCCTCCAGCATTTGTCATTTCCCTTTACTTGTCATCTTAGTGAATCTGATGGGTGTGAGGTGGTATCCCAGAATTGCTTTAACTTGCATTTCTGTAATTGCGAGCGATTTAGAGCATTTTTTCCAGTTATGATTTTAATAGAAATTGAGAGACATGTGACTTCTTTCTGTTTCTGGTAAGCACCAACTCACCAACCTCAAGTGGCTACTAGGTTCTATCCTAAAATTGTAATAAAAAGGAAAAGGATCCTACATGTACAAAAAACATCCATAGCTGCTCTATAGAAAAGAATTGAAAACAATCTTTACATCCAACAGTTGGAGAATAGAGGAATAAAATTGGAATAAGAATTGGCTTAGGTATTGATATAGAGAAATACTGACCAAGAAAATTCCATTCAGCAATACAGGGCATCATCTTCGCTGGAACATATAGTCCAAGAAAATTTTCTAGAACCATGAGAGAGTTAAGTGACTTGCTTAGGATCACACATTTAATAGGAATCAGATATGAGACTTGTATCCAGGTCTTGTGGTCTATGAGGCCAGGTCTCTATCCATTTTACAACCTTGCTTCTCAGGAAATTGATGTAGTAAAGATCACCAAGAGCTAAGAAACAGGGAAAACAAGGGTATATTTGGGAAATGGTGAATGCAGCATTCCATTTTGGCTCAAATGGAAGATCATAGGCATTCCTAGAACAAAATGCCTACTCTTAGAATACTGTTATTTTGCAAAATAAGGCAAAAATATCCATTGGAAGCACAAAGTGAATACCTTAAATGTCAGGCTTAGGAATTCAAACTTTGTCCTGCAATGGTGAACCATTAAAGGGTCTTTGATCAGGATAGTGACACGATCAGAGCTATAAATAGGTAACATGATACAGGAAAAAGGGTTAACATTCTAGTTCTGTTAGCAGTCAAATATCTTAGCTTTTGACCTCAGTTTCCTCTGTTGTAAAATGAAAGGATTGGACTATATTACTTTGGATATTTCCTTCCAGCTCTACATTACTCTATGACCCTATAGGCAATGCCAATCCCAATTTTAGTTTTCCATTCAACAATTTTTGCATATATAAAAATGTGCTGAAGGAAAAAAAAGTTAATAATGTACCTGCATTCATGGTAGCTAGGCGACACAGCGGATAGAGCACTGGACCTGAGTTCAAATCTAGCCTCAGACAATTACCATATGGCCTTAATATGTTGGGCACAGTTCTAAGTACAGATAAGTTTTGCCATTGAGGTCACATCGTTTAAAATGCTGTGGGGAAAAAGAAAAACTGCCAATCATGTAGATCTGAGCTATTTCTAGTGGGCATAGAGATTTCTGAGGAGGCAGGGACTTCAAGACCTGAGCAACTCTGAACTAAAGATGGGATAAGGGCTGGAGAAGATCGACCATTGTTTTCTTTGAAGAGTTGAAAGTCCAGTCCTGTTTTCTCCAGACACCAGTGTAGATGAAGATCTTATATGATTCATTCCTCAAGGCTCTCTCACACACAGATCATGGCTTGTAGCTCATACCACTGGGAGAACAGGATTCCTACCCCTCAAAGTAGTTTCCATTACCAGATCAATGACTGTCAAAGTTTAGTTGCTTCTGCCTATCATAGTAATTGAAGTCATTGACAAACTAGGCAAAATAGTGCTGTTCAAGAGGTAGGTCCTTGCAGGAGCAGGGGCAACCACTGGATTAATAGATAAGGTAGGATATCCTACATGATATTGGAAGATTGGAAAATTGCAAACCTTAGCCTCTGACGGAGTTGCAGTCTGTTCATGAAAGGCACTAGCATCCAAGAAAGCTGGACAGGTGAGATCTTGAATTTATGTTTAACAATGGAGATTTTCTGTGCTCTAGTCAACTTATTAGATGAACAATCTCACATCACACAACTCATAAGCAACTCTGGATGAAAGATAATGGATGGCATGACTTTGTATCATCTGTTCAGTAGCAACTGGGGTCCAGTAACGAATAAGAAACTTCTTTTCAAATGTGAGATAGAGAATGGATGCTTTGGGGAGCTTGTGGCTTTAGAAGTTTGATGGTCTTTTAATCAGTCAAATGCCTGCTAAAGATTCCATTCAGTCTGCTTATTATGGCCAGAGACTTCTAAAAATATGAACCTTAATAAAAAATTAAATTAAAAACTGAGGCGGCTAGGTGGTGCAGTGGATACAGCACTAGCCCTGGAGTCAAGAGGACCTAAGTTCAAATTCGGCCTTAGACCAAACACTTGACACTTACCAGCTGTGTGACCCTGGGCAAGTCACTTAACACCAATTGCCTAAAAATTAAAACAAAAATTAAATTAAAAATATGAACCCCTCTAGGGTCATAAGGGCTCAGGGGAACATTGTGTTGGATGACTCACTTTAGGTCTTCGAGAGCTATTGCCTGTTCTAGGTCCTACTTGAAAAAGTCAGATTGTGGGTGACTTCATAAGTGGGGGCGAACAGGATACTCAGGCAGGGATGTGGATTCTCTAAACCCAGAATTCAATATGACTCTGGTGTTCCTTTTTAGAATGTGAAGAAATATGTGCTGATAGCTTGTTCTGGGCTATGTTTATGATCATCTGGGTTCCCTTCATCCATCCCCAAAACATCATCACCATGCTGGTTGACTTGTTTTTATGCTCAACATTTAAACTACCTCAACTTACCCTCAATTGCCTTTCTCCTCTGTTTGGAGGGCTGGAGGGTAGATCGCTAAAGTCTTCCCAAAGCCTTCCTTTATAGAGGGCTTCAGAACCTTCCAGGGAATTCCATTTTCCCATCAACAATTCTGCTTTGCTTCAACTCTTTCATGGAACATCATGCCTCACTCTCCACAAGGCATCCCTTCTGTCTTCTCTTTGTAGTTTCCTGTTGTATATTGTTTTTTTCTCATTAGATTGCAAGCTCCTTGAGGGCAGGGACTGTCTCTCTTTTTCTTCTTCATATCCCCAGTACTCAGCACAGTCCCTGGAACATAATAAACACTTAATAAATGTTTACTGAAATGAATTGAACTTGAATGAATAGGTTGGAACTTGGATTTTCTTAAGATTGATTTCCCCACTCTTCTTGTTCCTCATATAGACCACCATATGATTTAGGAATCTTGCCACTGTGGCCTCTTCTGGCCTAGCCAAAATAATGTCATCAGTGTGGTGGTAGACATCTTTCAGGATGTCTTTCAGGACAGCGAAAGTGTCCTGAAAGTGCTTTCAGGAAGTGAGACCTCTTTCAGGTTTCTGGCCACCTGGCTTTGGAAGTATAAGGAAGAGTTCAGGTAGCCTTAGGGAAGGAGGGTGAAGGTATACTGGATACCCTCTCAGGTGAAAACAAATAGCTCTTGACTTTTGTCAGCCATAAGAACAGTGAAAAAAGGCATTAATGAGGTCCACAAGCCCAAGACAATAACTCTGACTCAGGGCTTGGGCTACCTGGTCCACTACATTGACAAGGTCAGGCATGGCCTCAACAATCATTGGGACAACTTTTTTCAGCCCCTTATATTTGACTTTAAATCATTAGGTACGATCTGTGTTCATTACCAGTGACAGAAATTATTGTAAGGAAGTTGGGTGTGGCACACTTAAACTTTGGTCTCTTATTTCCATCACTAGGGAGGAAATTACTTTCATTCATTCCTCCTTAAATTTGGTACTCTTTGGTGTTAACTATACAGAATGTCTTAGACAACTCCAAGGTTTTCTATATATGAACATTGCTTTAAGCATCTATACAGGTACCAATTCCCAAGAGGAGTTGGGCCTCCAAAACTCCTTTGGAAATTTGTATGTCCCAATGGACCTACTGGAGATCCCTTAAGTATGAAAATAACCTGACTACTAGTATCTTGCACCTCTTACATTTAAGTGGGGCTGGGGCTTTAAGTGACCCTTTAGGTTTGTGTGAGGCTTGAAAGACAGTTATTGCCCCAGGACTAGATTTCATGGCATAGTTTTTAATAGTATCCCTAATAGGCTGGCAATTAATTGCTTCCTTATCGATTCCATGTTCCATGAGCAATACCCAAAGCTCCCTTTGGGAAAGGATATCTTTACAGTCTATCTATCTAGTCTAATCTAGTTCTGCCATATACAGATCCTTAATTTGCATGAGAAGCCATATTTACCCTGCATCTAAATTAATATCCCACTTGATTTTTAAAAATCAGTCTATCCTCCTATGGCATTTTGGAAGCAAGATGAGATTCTACCTAAGAGGGGGAATCTAATTGTCTCCAGTGTAACCCAATAGAAGGTCCCTGGGTTAGGGTGAGGGGCCAGGAGGGAACAGCACATATCCATTCTACCACAGACTTCTATTTTACCCTCTCCTTTACAGACCCCTAACTTAGAATTGGTTGCCACTACAACTCATTTATAGGGGGCTAGCATGGCACAATTCCTCATCTTATTCCTAAAAAAAGGTCAAAGGATGGACCCCATCAAGGAACTCCAACTGACTTAATGGGCTTTACAAAGGTGAGTCTTTTGTTACTTACCAAGCTCATGAAACTCTGCTACGGTGGGGCTCCAAATTGGCTCCACTGACCCATACCCTCAGCACATACCATTCCAGAGACTTACCAAGTTTTTGTTTAAATTTCTCCTTCAGCCTCCTATATTCTTTGGTAGTGAAATCCTGCCTACCTTCTGAGCCCCCTATAGAGGTAATAATAGGGCCAGGCAAATTTTCAGTTCTTGTCCTCAATTCTACTCCCTTTATCTTCCTTCATAACTTTGACGTCAGTGGGATTCAACACATTTTCCAACCTGACCTCTGCATCTGAGACTATGCTTCCCACCACCTGCCAGTCCCTATCCTCTGGCCCTTTTACTTGTGTTTTAACTAAGTCCATCAGCTGTCTCTCTTTCTTTAGAGCACAGTCCTTAAAAAAAAAAGACAGGAGGTCTGCCTGTAGTTGCTGAATGGGCAAGAACAGTTGGGTTTTTTTTTTAATTTTAATTTATCTATAATAATAGCAATAATAATCTATATCTTTAATAATAGACAATAAGCAAGGAATACTGACCTAGGCACCATCTTTATCCTTCATGTTGCTTGCTTTGCTTTTTTACCCAAAGGCTAATCTTTTCAGATCAGTAAAGAAATCCCCCTTTATGTTCTATTGAGAGGGCTTACCTGTAATAGATGCAGGGTGCCAGGCCTGGGATCAGGTCAGGTATGGATGGAGCCTTTCCTTTGCATTGACCTTCCCTTATTTCAGCCATGAAAACCAGGCACTCATTCTCATCAATCTTGTCAACTTATGCCACATATCGTAGGGCAGATATGACTCAGATTTGGAATTAATTGAGACATGCATAGATGGTAGAACAGTTAGCAAAAGGAAGTTTACTTAGGCATAGCATCAAAAGCATATTCATCAATAATACAGTAAGGATTCAGCTGGTGCAGCTTGGTTGGCTCTGGATTTGCCATGTGACACACCAATATCAATATTAGAGCTCGTGACTCCTTTGTCCTGGCTTTTGTACTTAGGCCCCCAGAAAATGGTGTCAATAGTTCAAGTCTTAGTCCCCTGGGCCAATTTAATAACAAGGATACATTCAATACCTTTTATGAAAAAAAAAATAGTCTAGGCTATGTGGCAGGGAGCCTAATAGATTTTACTCCTAAAAAACTGTATAACTCACTTACTCAGTTAACTCCAGTGGCTTCCTATGAGGTCTAGAATCAAATATTATTTTATTTTTATCTCATCCCTTTTAATTTCCATGTTTTATCCATTTTGCAATGCACATAATTATTAGTGTGGTCATTCATATATGTAACTTATAAATAAGAAATTACACACATATTTGGAGAACATGCCCCAAAACTTTTTACTAATACATAGGGACGTGTTGATCAAGAAGTTTGGAGACTAGTGTAGACAAAACCCCCATAGACCTCCCTCATACTCTAAAATTATCCTTATTTCCAGATTCTTCTCTTCAAAACTCTTATATAATACAGTTGATATCATCATTAAGAGGCAAGGGACACAAGAGCTGTCATGTGAAAGTTTCAGAGTTAAGATCAATGGGTGGAAGTTACAGGGTGGCAGATTTCAGGTCAATATGAAGAAAAGACTTTCCAACCATTAGAGCTGTCCAAAAGTGAAACAGACTGATTTGACAAGTGTTGAGCATTACCAAATGTGTTAAGGCAAAGACTGAAATACAATTTGCCAGATATATTGCATAGAGGATTCCTTCATCAGATAGGAGGCTGGACTCTGTGATCTCTAAGGTCCTTTTGAAACAGTCTATATTTCCATTTATTCACATTAAAGTATGAGTGATTGTTAGCCTGAAATGAATATGTTTTATCTGGGGTAATTCTGGGGAAGGATTGAAGAGTCAGTCAGTAAACATTTATTAAGCACCTACTCTGTGGCAGGCACTCTGCTAAGCTCTGGGGATGCAAAAAAAAAAAAGGTAAAAAGACTGTCCCCATTCTTTAGGAGCTCACAATCTAAAGAGGGAGACAACAGGCAAACAATTATGTAAATATCTATATATCTATATAAACACATGTATGTATGGATATGTACACACATGTGCATGTATGTATTATGTGTGTGTGTTTAGGACAGGTTTCCTGCATTAAGTGAGATTTTAGTTGAAACTTGAAGGAAGCCAGGAAACCAGGAGGCAGAGATGAGAAAAGAAAGCATTTTGGCTATGAGGGAGAGTCAGTGAAAATGACTAGAGTGGGGAGATGGAGTGTTGCATGGAAGACAGCAAGGAGGCTAGTTTCACTGGATCACAGAGTATGTGTGAGAATGTAAGGTGGAAACAGACTATTACATCTTCCTGGACATCATCAGCAAGGAGATGGCAATAGGTTGGGCTATAGCAGAGGAGAGCACAATGCATGTATAAATGAGTGAATGAATGAACATTTATTAAGTACTCACTTTATAGGCTATGTGCTAAGTGCTGGAGATACCAATATAAAACGACACATTTCCTGCTCTCTTACTGCTTTTATCCTAATAGGAAGAGTAAACATACATGAGAGCAGTGACCAGGAATGGAAGTGTTTAGAGGGTCCATCAGGGAATCACTTGAGAAGCTCTTTCCAGGAAAGCGATAAAGAG